GCGAAATTTTAGTCGGTTAACCTCAAAGTAAGAGACTACTTGAGAGACCAAAGCATAGATGGAGGATAATATTAAAATAAATCTGAAGAAAACTGGATGTGAATGTGTAAATTGTATTGAACTGTATCAGGATTGGGTCCATTTGCGGACTGTTGTGTATGCGGTTTCCATTTTGGTTAATATGGCGGGGAAATTTCCTGACCAGCGAAGCAAGTGAAGGAATACGTGAAGAGCTCAGTCAGGACAGCGGGCAATGTCGCCGATTTTAAAATAGGGTGGTATCTAGTCTTCTCATTTATATTATTACACAGTTATTACTGACGATCAAGTTAAAATTTTATCTGAGTGTAGAAGATTCAACGCTTTCCCTTTATTCACACTGCTATCTTGCATTCTACAAATAGAGCACGAGTTAAAATGAAGGTGAATTTTTGACATGTTGATTTAGATCACATGTCTTATATTGTGAAGCGTTCATAACTGTTAAGTAACGCATGTCAATGTTTCATCTCGAAATCAGGCTATACAATGAGGTGAGCTACTTCCGGGAATGTCTTATGACGCCCACATTTCTTTCTCTTCTCCACTTTGTACACAGACGCCAGAGAACTTGCACGGTCCACGAATAACTGGACCTAAGTATGCTGTTCAGTGATCGGTGTGAATACTTACTGCTGAGCTTTCAGGTTCTCACGGCTACGAACATGAAGACGACTTTCTTCCGAGACGTTGCGCCATGTAGTCTGGTAAAAGTTTATGCCTCCATCAGGACGATATTCATGTCTACACAGCACAATATTCCAGAAGACATTTTGAAACTTATTGCTTCTGTAGGCCTCCAGTACACGAACGATGTAGCAAAACCATCGGGTTTACAAATACAAACCTTCTATCACACATAGAAGCACGCCCCCACACACAAACTTCACACATTTATTGATACGTCTCTACCCAACAAGAATTAAATTTCAGATGCATGTCGGTTTCTAACACATTAAAAATAGAATAAACATCTTTTATAGGTGTGAAATTTTCTCTGCAGTACTAATGGAAACAAAATGGGCTGAGGACGTTTGAGAAAAATATGTTGCGAGAAGATACTGTTTGCATCTGCGAGAGAGGCAGTAACAGGTGGATCGAGAGAGTTATGGTGTGAGAAGATTCACTTCCGCATCCTGGTATGTTCAATTTTGTTTGGCATATATACGGCGGCATATCAAGTGCCATGGAAATCATAAAGTGTGGTAAAAGTAAAGTAAAGTTTGTCCCACTATACGCCACGTAGGCGTTTGGGGTGAGTGGAGGTATAGCTCCTCTCTTTTTTGACCACGGCACTAGATGGGGGTGAGTGGTCAGCATCACGCCCCGGCCGGCTTTACCCCCGGCTGGGTGGGCCCCAGAGCCAGTCTGGACGCAGAGGCTAGAGGAAAAATCCTCTGCCCCCGTCGGGGATCGAACCCCGGTCGTCCAGCCCGTAGCTAGTCACTATCCCGGCTCATTCATAAAGTGTGGTAGAAAAGGAAAATACTTAAATAGTTTGGAAATACGAGTGGTGAGGGCTATTTGTTTACAGGATAATGAAACTTCGGCTTCAGTGAAAGATGAAAGTTTTTTGGACTCGCTGAGCGACTGTCATCTTTTCTTTCAAAGTCCCTTCTTCGTGATGTTGTTACTTAGTTAATTGTTCGTTGCCTTGGATTAGGTGACTATTTCCCCCGTTTTACATCCGTTTTGAAATATTATGTCACGCAATGTTTCTTCAGAAGATAAACAATTTTTATGTAAGACTTGAGGTTCTCACAGCGGTGAATATGAAGATTTCTGTCTTCTGGGTTGTTGCGCTGTGTAGTCTGGTCGATGTTAACCTGATGACGGAGGCAGTATGACCTCTGAAACGTTGGTTAACATCGACCAGACTACACAGCGCAACAACCCAGAAGACAGAAATCTTCAAACAATTTTTAATTTCATACAGCTTAGAATTAACGATGAAATAAAACATATTATTTATTATGCTCCTGTCTGTTACGCTCGTCAGCTACACTCAATTTCGCCCCTCGAAATCCAGTTGAAGCAAACTCTCAGTTAAATTCCTTAGTAATTGACTGGAATATGATGCATTCACTAGGCCACTCGCTAGTTTTTCGATTATCTTTCATAATATTGCGTGCATGTCAATAATACAAATTGAAGAGGACGGATGTGTCACGTGTTAATGCATTTAGCATAATGGGATAATTATGGGAGCTTGTTATTTTTTGTTTTTTGTTCCGACTAAATGCACATAACACTATGTCATCTTGTGGTAGTTGTAGCACGCCAATATAAATGGCATTATTAACATCTTGTAGAGGACAACCGCGTGCTTGAGTTCATAGCAGCAAAAAGTATCTTGTTTCCACATCCTTAAGTCCTCTGTAATTGGCGCATTGCTCTTTGTGGTGTCGCCGAGAGGGGGAGGTTAAGCAAACAAGAACATTTTGTTGCCAATGTCGTCATTCTTTCCCAAAACAGATGAGCTATGAAGGACCAGATGACCTCATCATCAGAGGTCAGGAGACTTGCATATGCAAGAGATGCCTTACATCACAGAAAAATTTATCGTCTGCTTTTAAATGACCACGAGAATGTGCACTGAGCACAAAAGACCAACAGAGACGTCTATCCTCAGTGTGTATGAAGGGAGAGCTAGCTCGTTTCTTCCGGAATTCCTATTTTTAGTGTGTTTAACACTTCAGCCTTTCTAAATCTGGGTAACTGAGCAGGAAGTGACGACAGGCCATGAGCTTCAGTTCTTGAAAACCAACAAAGTGAAGGATCTGTTCTTGCTGTTGTCACTTATGTTCTAACCGTTCCGCAATCAAGGATGTCAGTCAAATTTAACATTTCGACATCGACAAGGAAACTGTTAATATATCGTTTTATTTTGGTTCTTCTTGTGTTAAAATGAATATAGAATCTCGAAAATGGAAATTCTTTTGGCTATGCTTAATAACACTGTACCGTGCTTAAATAATTTGGAAGGATTCGTCATTAGATAATGACGGAGTTTGTTACGTTGATCACTGGAAAATAGTAGTACATTCCCTGATTTTATGTACGTATTTTGGAAAGTGTTATAGGGTGACAGAAACACAAGGAACATGTTTTAAATCACAGATTATTATTAGATTTGCTATCATCTTCTGTTAAATCACATGGGATTTGGATTTGGTCTGATCATATTCCATGTCTTCCGGTTTCCCCAACATTAATTTTACAGTTTTTCAAGAACTCAGTGAATGTGAGACAGTAAAATTTCCGTTTTCTGCCGGCCTTATGGTCATTGTAGACACACCCCAGTTTTTTTCAGTTTAACCCTTTGAATCACGAAGCTTGTGCAAATATTATTTAAGAATCCAGTCCGTACCGCAAAGAAAACAACAGTTCGTTACAAAGATCAAGTGGTTAACGCTCTTTGAGGAAATTATCGCCGTTTACAGTGAGAACCACACGAGACCGTAAGTTATTGATTATCAAATCAGGTGGTACATATAGTTACCATTGGGCCTTAAGGGGTTAATCCGATAATTTCTTCTCTGTACAACCGGTCTCCATAGGGCATCGACTGTAAGAAAACAAATGTTTCAAAATTATCGGTCAGGAATGTACAGATGCGAAAGATGAATTTTCGCATGGCAGACATGAAGACTGTTATGCATATGTCAACACTAAATTTAGCGAGTCGTTGCTAATTTTGTGGCGGGCGACACACTGCTTGATGAAGTCATGTCAGCCAGACCAGTCTCCAGACTGGAGTAGCATGATGTCAGCTTAGACCTCGTGGCATCCTAATTACCATTGTTTCGGTCAGAGGTCGAGGGCGTGAGAGAATGCTTCACTTTCCGTCTCCTTTGAGGCTGTGAAATTAGAGCTCCGCTTTCGTGGAAGTATATTTAGAATAATAGTGTGCTATAGGTCTTCACTTTGTGTTAGAGCAAGTTTGTACAGAGCATAGCCAAATGTAAAAGAATACAAGAACGTCTAGGTTAGTAATGACCCGTAAAAGTTGAAGGGAATGAACGTTCTGTGTTGAAAAGTGATATCTTTTGTTGTAGCATTGTTTTTGAGACTCGCATTCAAAGTATAAAATTTACAATTGTTTACATATTAAATTTAGTGTAAAAAGAATCTATTCTACAACTGGATCCAGATTCATGTCAGACGCACTAACACGAAACCAACTTGACGCCAGACTCGACGCCAAACGCGGACTCCGCCAGACCCCACCATCAGCGCCACAACCTCTTTTGCAGTTCCTGCTATCAAAGTCGCAACCGCGAGAATTTAATTAATATTTTTTCCGCATCAGTCAAGCGTGGCGGATATCGCCTACTAGCTGCATTAGGAATAGAAGACGGATGTACATATTTCAAGATTGTCAAGGAGAATTAATGAATTCGATACGTATATTTATTGTTCACAAACATAAAATTCATATGACAATAATATGTTAACTTACGCTTATGTTAAATACGAAACGTGCAATGTATTGATAGTTAAAATATTATCTCAGACCTTTCTCGAACACCTATCGCCTATAGATTTAAGTGTAAATTTCTAAGGTTTAAAGGATCATTTACACGCGCGTAATGTAGTAGACTTCCAGTAGCAAACTACAGTGCAGTTTGTTCTCCATATTATGCTGTTTCAGCTACAAAAGGCTGTTGCTTGCTGTGTCGAATTAGATGGATTATGAAATGGGATGGTTGAGGTATATTTCGAAGTAGTCTATATACTGGAAATTCTGTCTGAAAATTACGAAAATCCTCGGACAGGATGTTCGGTAACCTGATGAAGAATCTTACTGGGTGCCTCCCGAATTAGCTCCTGCTGATGTGCATGCCAGGATACTTGAAGTGTTAAAGTTGTGGGTGGGATGGAAGCAAACACGGACACGCAAGTGAAGTACGTGGTCCGCAGTCTTACAACGATGTTTGAATCTGAGCTCAGCAAGACGTATGGTCTTCGTTGGTAAGGTGAGAGGCGAAGAACATGTGGTGGCCCCAGAGCCGGTCTGGATGTAGAGGCTAGAGGAAAAATCATCTGCCTCTGGTGTCCATTCTGTAGTCAGTTACGTTACTGACTTATCTACCCCGGCTGGTATTTATTCTCAGTAGAGTTCTGAAAGTCTCTAACAGTATGCAGAGTAAAATAATGTTTCGTCTAATTACTGTGTTTCTCTTTCAGCAACACCCGATCCGGCATCGCCACTATAGGCACAAGCGCCAGCACACTCATTCCGCCCCACAGACGTATTTACCGGGAAGTTTTGTGGTAGACGGTAGCGCCGCGACGCCAGAGTCAGGCAACTGGGGGCCATGGTCGGAGCCCAGCGACTGTTCGCGCTCCTGTGGCGGAGGCGTTGCTTTCCAGACGTCGAGACAGCAGGTAACAACAGTCTCTCCTAGGGGCAATGGGTCGTTCACATTGCTGTGTCGTAGCGTCAAGTCACGCCACGTGTACATTTGTTCACGTTTTCATATTTTACTAAGAAATACAATAATTCAGAACTTTCCTTTATTTCAGTAGGTAAGTCGTTCACGCGTCAACATTTTGTTCTGCAGAGAACGCGTTGAATTGTTTAGTTAATGGATGGAACATCTTGAAATTGAATCGTTCTCGACTTAATTTACTGAGTTTTTCCAGTCAATTTCGTGATGGTCTGTGTACTGAATTATTATCCCAAAATATGTTAGGCATAGCAACAGTTTTGTTGTATCAAAACTTACCATATGTTCGCATATGCTCAATCTGTTTTCCAAATTGTAGGGTCTGCTGTTATGAAACAGAAGGGTTCGCCTAACCACCAGATGACTGATGGACGATTAAAAAGACGGACGAACGTGTTGTTTACACACGGCCAGTACCGGACCAGCTCAGTTGATGTAGAGGTCATGCCTCATTCGTGTTTAGGGTGCAGCAAGCATGGATTACCTAATCGGTGAACGTGACTTCCTTCATATAACTTCATTATCATTAACAAGATATCACATTTTAATCGGTTTTCCTTTCTTGTGAAGAAGTAATTACTGGATACACCGCTTGTGAGAAAGGCAGTTCATCAGACGCGAATCTGAAAGATCTAGTATGTGTCTTCTGAAATGTTGTGTCGTGTAGTCTGGTAGATGACACGTATTGAAACATTTAATGTCGATCTTTAAGTTTTGACTATTTTTAACTCGGTTTGATATGACAAATCAAATTTTCCAGCTGGTGACGCCAAGTCACGTAAGTTATACCGTCTTAATTTACGTAATACAACTACAG